CTGACTGCAAATTTTAGAAATACACTTGTATAACATCTTTTTGGTTTGAGTTGAATATTGAAACGCGTCAAGTATATCAGTACTTTCTAAAATAGTCTCAAACCTTCTGTAAATTGTTAGGAAGTTTTCATGTGAATAAAAGAGCATGTATAAGAGCTCTAGTAGCCAGCTACTTCAGCCCTAAAGTGAGTTGAAGCACTCTTGAAAAATCCTATCATTGGCTTATTTATTTGATGTCTCAAAGACAAATCTCTTATAGTGGTCACCGTCTCCTTGCCCAGCCTTGAATCTTCGTTCAACAAAATAGTTACTTTCAAGTCAGTGTTGTTTCAAACAAATTTCTACTATTTTTGGTCCTTGAGGCTTCAAAAATGATGAAGGAGGACTCTCTCTAACTCCCTAAAGTGATTATGTAAGCCTCTGCGCATACCTGCTGCAGATACTGTTTGTTTGGCTTTCAGCTTTGCCTTTTGTGGCATTTGAATCCCTTGTCTTTTAGTTATTTGTCGTATAGTTTTCTCTCTTCTTTGTATCCTCTTCTGTAAGTTAGTTTTGAGTTGTAAGTAGTGATTTTTGGCTGAAAGCATGTCCAAGTTCGAGTATAATCAATTTACAAATACTGGAGGACTGTACATAGATGTATATGAAATACTTATTCAGCCTGTGATACGGGTATTGAGGTTTTTTCCCCTTAATATTTATGTCACAAATAACTATTTCAAGGATACTGTGGTGCTGCCAGAATTGACATGAACGAGTGAGCAGTTTATGGCAGCTCAGTAGCTGAGTATGCCATTTACCGTTTACAAACTGGTTGTTGTCTTGGGAAAAATTACATTATAATTCTGCTAAATAATCAATACGAGAATTGCTTCTTCGTCTTTTCAGGTATAGCATTGGAATTTACAATCAAAAGCAATTTAATCTTTGTAAAACAGTGTCTAACAACGTGCTGGGTATTATTTTTGAAACATACTTTCAAACCTATGGAAGATTTGACATCAGGAAAAATGAATGCTTGTTTGAGACTTCTTTGCTACTTCAGCAAGTGTCCAAGGATTGAAAGGGCACAGAGTTTGAACTGTCTTTTATGAGTATTAAATTCATTCGCTTAAAATATATAAAAATATATATATCTATATGCTACTGCCAGAGGCAGGATACTGAAATAGACACAAGTGCTCTGTTCAGTTGACATTTCTCTACATTTCCCACCTTATGCAGTTTTTCTGAGCGCCTGTCTGACCTGTAATACCTGAGCTATTTTAGTCCCGGGTCTGTCAAGAGCACCCTGTCAATTTTTTCCAGGTGGCCATGGCTGTTTGATATCGACAGATGTTCATTAGAAGCTAAGATGAGACTATTCAACTAATTTTCTTGGGTAACCTGATACAAGGATTGCACGCAGTCCTTCGGTGCTGAAAGACTGGTGCAATTAGTTTTTGCCATCAGTCCCTGAGCTAATAAACCACAAGAGCTTAGCACAAGTGGATAGAAACCAGACATGGACATGAACTAAGAATAACCACTGATGCATGTTCTTGTCCCTCAGTTACCAAGGAAAAAAGGGATTTTGGAGACGTCTTAGTGAACTCCTGTGTTAGGAAATGCACCCAACTGTTCTCTTAAACTAGCTGTGTTTCTTAATATCTCTCCTGCTCTGAAGTGTAATACAGTAGTTGTCTACAAAGTTGGTGTTTAACTCTGTCCAGGAATTGTTTTCCTTCAGGGATGCTAAAAACAAATGGAAGAAAAATAACCTTACCAGAAGTGAGCAAATACATTTAGTGCTGTCTGAAATGCTTTATTTAACTTCTCTAGGCCTTTTGTTTAACATTGAAACGCTTGTACTTGAAAAACTTGGAGAGGAAAAAAAAACGCACTGGAAAATTGGAAATCTGTCATTACACTTTGTACTGGGGATTCAAATAAAGATTGAGTCCCCAAGGTTATCCAGCAGTAGATGCTTTGTGCATTACACCATAACATTAAGTGAATGTTTTGGGAAATACTTCTTGTGACTAGTCTTTTGAAATGCAGGTATATGGACAAGCCATCCAGGTTAATCCTCCTGAAATACTAATTTTAGGCAACTTATTTTTCAGGAAGAGGGATCTAATTCTTCTCGGTGTCTGTTTATGAAATAGCAGTCTTTCATTTGAGTTCAGTGATTCTGTGATTACACAAACTGTGATCACAGTTGCATATACCATTACGGTGGCAAGGCCAGATTAAGTAGTTTTTATGTGCTGTTAATTGCCACTGCCTGCCTCTTTTACCCTCCTGTGAACAGTGATTTATACCAGATAGAGCCTCTCATGCCCATGCTTGTTGTGGGAGGTTGGTGGTAAGACTGGGAAATCACGAGGGGTGTGAAGCTGAAAAGGCAGATTAATCGTGTATCCTTCTGTTTGAAACATCAGCTTACCTTTAGAGTCTCTGTCAGCTTTGTCGAAGAGATGTCGTTGGCTGAATAAGTGTTCTAGTTTTCCTTCCTGCAGCAAGAAGCAATTTAATTCTGGAAAACGCAGAATTAAATTATGTAGATTAACTAGGAGATTCCTAATTGCCCTGTTGCATGTTGCAGGGGAGGGGAAGGTTTCTTAAAGTTAATTTAGGAACTGTGACATGTGAGGGTAAACGTGGCAGATTTAATCATGGCTTCTTATTGTAACTGCTTTTGGAAACAGCAGCAAAAACTGTTAGGCAAAACAAATGGTGTTAAAAGGTGCTTCTTGTTTCAGTGCCCTTGCTGCCAGTTCCAGCCCAGCCAAGACCTGCTGTAGGACCCCAGAGATTTCCCGTGAGTAGCAGCTGTTTCTTCTTCCCTGATATGGATAAGCATACATTTGCAAGGAAATATTAATATAGCAAATAAAAGCTGTTCTAGTGAAATATAATTTTAAGGATTTGTAAATATTGACAATACACTCTGCAGTTGAAAATGTTTGTTAAAAGCTTAAGGTCAATGGATTTTTGAGAGTAGAATTAATTCTGTTTAACTGTAAAATTGTTGAACCAGTCTCTCCAGTGGGAGAGAGATGAATGCATCTTGTCTTAAGGAATATGGGCTTCATTTTAATACTTGACTCTTTCCATATAAATAGAATCCTTATTTTATTTGATATAATGAAAGGCTATTTGAAATAATCCCTAAGCTTAAAAAGCAGTATATATATTTTTATTGTAAAAAATCAGCAACATTTCATTTTTATCATTACTTCAGGCATTTAAATGCCCTCATGCATTTATATAAAAAAATAGGAATAGCATTGCATGACCTTGCTTTCCCGTATGGTTTTGACTTCCAAAACAAACAAGCTAGCTTCACTGGGTTAATTTCACTTGACAATTTTTTTTTGATTCTGTGACTGGAGAGAGTGCGTACTTCTGAACCTTTGCTTATCACTTCACGATTTTGTTGTCCTAAATTTTTGGTTCAAGTGGTTTGCGGAGTATCAAAATAACCAAAAGAAAAAGCGGTTTGTGCAATATGGCCTTAACTATTTTCAAATAAAAACCCATATATCATGTTTCCCAAATACATAAAACACAAATATTACCCTCTATTAGTGTGTGCAGTGTTGAAGGAGGAAAGTAGATGCTTGTGAGCATCAGTGTAGTATCACGCAGTAAATTATTTGCATAGAGATCAAACGCATTTGGAAGAAGCAGATTTCGGAAACCTGCTGTGACTTTTGATTGCCATGTGCATACCTGGTTGTTTTTGACACAAAATATTTTTCTTAGAAGATGTCTAGCTGAGGAATTGTGATGTCTGTATGTTGTACAGTAACTCAGTATTTACATTGCCATGTTTCTCCTGTGAAGTATAAAAAGGTTAAGCAGTACAACTGCAGTTCTTTAAGTAAATTCATGTTTTATAATTTCATCATCAACACTTTACCAGACATATTTTTCTATTGAAAATTATTGCAGTTTTCAGAGGAAATAATTTTATTCAGGAACCTTTACTACTATGTGGAGACCTTATTAACATTTTAAAAGTAATTCTAATTGTTTTTTATGAAGACAAGTATCTTACATTTGTTTTCTGTTGACACTAAGTCAAAGTCCTTGGAGGACAAGGAATATCTGTGAAGACATTGTAATTGACATCTTTGAAGTGTGTTTACATCAGTGTAGAAAAATTGGAAATTAATTTTTTTAAATTGACTGTGAAATTAGATTTTAATTCTGTTCACTTTTGTTTTTGCAAGTTGAAGTACTGCAAACCTCGCTGATCTTCTATGCAACAGTTTTTAAAATGGAATAAAACAGATTGAACGTTTTTTGTAGGACTCATGTTCCTTTTGCCTGAAGGAAAATACTTGACTGCTTGTGCCTTTTTATGTCAGCAGTGCACTAGCAAAGAGTCGATGTAGTTCTTTTTTCGTGAAGAGGAGGAGGGCCAGCTTAACCAAGAGCATCCAGTGCTGTGGTTTAGTTGCCCTGAGTGGTTTTTTTCCTTCTTCAGCTAGTAACCCGCTATATGACCCTAAGAAAGTTACTTAATCTTCCCATGACTCACTAAGTTATAAAATGGGTATAATATGGACTTGCGTTATGAAGTACTTTATAAATTTTGCATAGGTTATCAGTCATATTAGGATTAGGTATTAAGTGTCACTGTGTACATATCTCGTGTTTGTTTTATTAAATGTAGTATGTTAGCTCTTGAGCTGAAGTCAAATTTACTTTCTGACTTGGAGGTTTTATCTCGCAGAACTACCTTTTTGCTCTGTTACATGTCAGTTGCCTTTGTACCATTCTAATTCACTTGTTTATGTGTAAATGTTGACTTATAGCAGTACAGCAATGGTTAGACAACTTTGCTGACAAGCTGTTTGAAAAAGTTCAAAGAAGTGTTCCAGACTGTAATTCGTTCATCCTTTTCCTCGTTGTAGAAAGAATCTCTGGATATGTAATAACTTGAATTTGCTCTTGTTTTTTAGGATTACTCAATCAAAGGATAATAGTCACTGGATTTTTCTAGTTGCTTTGTTTCTAAGAAACTGTGGGGTTTGAATTAAATATTTGTAGCTGCCTTTCCCCTTTAACTTTGAACCGGATAGTCTATTTTGATTGAATGTGGCAGAGGCAGAAACATTAAAGATAATGAAATTCTTGCAAGGGAGAGACCTAAAAGGGGCTAGTGCCCTCATTGAAGGAAAAATTGCCTCTGAGTTCCCATTTTATCTAGGAGAGAAACTTCTCTGCACAGATCTGTGTGTGCTCCAAACATGGGAAGAGCTTCAATCAGAGCTAATCCAATTGAAAATCATAAATCCATTGGAAACCAGGTGTTAGTAATTTAGGGCTAATGAAGTGGGTTGTAACCATGTAATGGTTAATTCTTACAACCTTTTGCTGAAAGATGTAACTGAATAGTTGAACAAAGTTGTAACAAGCACGTTAGCATACTGGTGTGCGTTCTAAATTATAAGAAATAATGTAGTGCTAAATCAGGTTGATGTTGATCGAGATTGAACCTGCTTGGAGTTGGGGCTGATTAAATTCACTTAACCTTGGGTCCAAATTTTAGTATTTTGGGGTAGGGCTTATTACTCAATTATTTCTTACTTAAAGCTTAACCTGTTAAATGTTTAGAGGAAGTAATATAAAGGTCATAATGGGATTAACTGTTTGTGTTCCCTACTTAAAGTTATTTTAACATTTACAAGAATCTTGAATCAAGCAAGGAAGTCGTCTATCTCTTACTCTGTGAGCATTCAAGGTGACTTATTGTAAATGATATTTGAGAGCTATGTTCAACTGATTAGGGCTGAATAAACGATGGATCTGAGGCATGTTAGCAGCTGAGAAATGCAGTGAACTTGTGCTAATTGGGACTTAAAGCCCTGAGTTCTGCAAAGGCTTCTATACCTATCTAAATTGCAAAATACTCTTCAGGTGGCTGTAGTTGATAGTAATCCAATCTTCAGGCATAGTCAATGCTAATATTTTGCCAGGTATTTGAATTAACCTGGAACTGTGCAAGTGCCAACTGCGTGTTTTCTTTAAACTGTTTAAAGAACAGATTAAGCTAACTACTCAGCCAAGCCCTCTGGAGGTCTTGTTCTACCATCTGCCTTTGCTTTAAAGTGGTTAAAATGCCTTTCTCTGAGTTGCTGTCTGTGTCACAGTTGGTATTTCACAAATAACAGTCTACTTTGGGGACCAATGCATTTAAAGGAAGGTGACAGAAGACTTTATTCATAGACTAGTTGTATGGGTCTTGTGAACTTTTCGTGTGTTTTCTGATCAAGATGTTAGTTCATGAGGGTGCCCCAGTGCAGATAGAGAGCCTGTGTTTTTTCTTGTTACACAAGAGGGACCATTGTGGTTCCTGTCCTCCAGTGTTTGTTATCTGAGACGATTTCTCTTTCAACTCCTGTGTTCTGTGAAGAAGGATGAGGTCAAAAAAGGGAAGAAGAAATTAAATGGAAAATGGAAGAGGTGTTTCTAAACACTTTGTATGTAGACTGCTGCTGACTATTATAGAGACCAATTCATTACTTAATGTGAAACTAGGAGCTAAGTTGATGGTCCAGATCTTCTCATCCCTTATATCAGTCCACCAGCACATTCTGTGTCTGAAATATTTCAATGTTTGCCTGAATAAAAATTTACAAAGACTTTTTGCTTCAAACATAATTTATTTAACTTAATGAACACTGAACTAATACTCGTGTGGCACAAGTGTGCAGTTTTTTTGAAGACATATAAAAGTGTAATGAGTGTTGTCATTCCCACTTTGGGATAGAGTGTGGCAGAGGGAATGTGTTTTCGCTGTCAAAATTCTTCAGCCAGAAATTGTGAGGAAATTGTGAGGTATCCCTAGCATCCCAATTTGGGGCTGGAGTTGGGGGCATTTGAAGTGAAGAGGAAGTTGGGGAGAACCTGCCTCACACTGCTCAGGGCGGAAGAGGAATTCCTTGGATCTGAGGCATTACCCCTCTGTCTCTGTGATGGATTCTTCTCTAAAGCCGCTGTGGAGAGAGCAGAGCCTGTAAACGCAGCTATATGCATTTTGCCAGGAGAATTTTCAGGAAATTGAGGTGAATTCCAATTTAGCCGCTGTCCTTAACTTGACACTCTGGGAGTGGTGCGAGCTGGGCAGGTGTCCACCCCACAGACACATTTTATTAACTTCGATCAACTTGAGTTTCAGAGCTGAAGTTAGGAGTTGTCTGAAGTGGCACGAAGCACAAGGTGAAGTGGCACTTAGTGTCTGCCTGACTAATTTATGCCAGGAGGGCTTTGAGATATATATATATATTTTTTAATACATGAAGCTTTTCTCTTTTGATAGGACACTGTAGTTAGTGCACGAGGTGCCTTTCAAGTAACTGTTGAATTCAAGTCTGAAAATGTTGAATTGTGTAATATAAATTATGTTTTATTCAGTCAGACCCTTCTGAATATTCTACATCATATGTCTTTTCAGTTCCCAGGGAGTTTTGACATGATTCATTTTTGAAACTCACCTTACAATTTCTTTTCAAAATCATCTTTATCCCAAAGAATGCTTGATTTTATTTTTTTTTCCCTTAAGCTGCAAAAATCTTAGTAAACTTTCTTAACATTCTCATTCAACATGCTTCCACTTGATCTCCAGGACATCAGGTGGTGTGTTAAATGAATGCTGTGAAAGGCAGTTGATTAGTTTTGATTCAGTTTTTTCACCATTTCTTCAAGTGCTAGTTTGACAAATTTTGAGCTTTCAGGTAGCGTTTGGAATTCAGACACTGCTTTTAACCACTTCTTTACGTTTTAATCTGTGAGATGTTTTTAAACAGG